ATTTTTTCAAAAAAAATTTTTTTCATAAATTGCAATTTTGACTAAAAAAATCGCATAACTCAAAAACAAGACAAAATTTGGTTCTCAAAATACGATCTCATTTTTATATTACGTTAATTTATATTAATTATTATTTTCTGAAGATAAATGATTTAAAAAAAAACCGCTTGGTTCCATACTTTATATTCACCCTGTATAGTGTGTCCCCGAATAGGTGAAACGACTCTTGTAAAAGTAAAAAAATCTTGATTTAAATTTTTCATTTTTTGGAATTCAGCTCTGCTTGGTTAAAGATACTAATTTATAACATAATTTTAGTTTTGATAAATTAACAAGTATGCCTTGAAAATTTTCAAAAAAATTTATTTTACTGTAGAGTAAAGTGCCTTTCATAAGATAAATCCGTCAAGGAGTTATTAAGAAAAGTTGTTTAGAATCAACATCTAGGCTCCTACACCACATTTAAAAATCATCGGGCAACTATGATTTTTATTTATTTTTTTTTATTTCACAAATCAAAAAACTTTATTTTTAACAGTTCTTTTATTATAAATAAGAAAATTTTCACACTTAATTTATTACTACTAAATAACTGTTTAACGTAACTGTTACTAACAAGCAACTATCTTGGAAAAAAATGAAAAATCATAGTTGGACGTTAATTTTAAAATTTGATACAAGAACCTTGATGTTTTCTTTATCTTTTTGTCGTATTTGACACATAAAAAGAACTTAACTCTACAGAAAAATACTTCATTTTTCAAAACTAAATGTATGTTACAAATGAGTCTTTAACCAAACAAAAAATTAAAATTTAAATCAAGAATTTTTGATCTCTTACAAGTTCGCCTATCCGCCGGGGACACACCGTATAATTTTGCACTCATCTCATCAATCATCATTTTATTTTAAAATTCTAAGTAATTTATAAATAATTGATACTTAAGAACCACTTCACTATCTTTATAGCGATTTTGTGCTAATGCCTTTGAAATAAAACGCAAAATAAGTGAAAAATATTAAAAATGAATGGCAAATATAATTTAAAAGGACGAATAAGAAGGTAATGTTTTTTTCTGTTAATCGTCGCAAATGTGTGAAGAATTTGAAGGAATCTGAGGTAGTAAATCGCAGCTTCAAGTTTATGTAACTTGATGTTCATTTAAACAAATCACTAATGAACAGAAAATAATTACTTTTATGTCTTAAACAGAATTATCATTGAGGGTCAAACGCGAAAGATTTCCTACAATCACTCGTGCTCAAATAAAAAATAATCAATCATCTAATAATGACATGAAATGTTTTATTCATTATTCCTAATTAAAAATAAAAATCAAGAAGACTATCTCTTTCTGTCAATTTATTTGTCAATGAGATTCTTCCAAACATCATAAATATCTAATTAGAAATGTCACGACCGATATTAAAACGTTTGAAAAGACACGCACCTTTAATTCCCTTGTATTTGCTTACCACAGGTGGGGCTCTTGGTGCGATTGCTTTTGCAGTACGGACGGCTTTACAAAATCCTGATGTTCAATGGGATCGTCGTCGAAAAGAAATTCCCAATGAAGATTACAGATCAAAACAATACAAACTTTACTCGCCTAATAACGACTACACTCAAGTGGAATGCCCCGCGCCTAAATATTGAAAAACTAAATGAAAAATTAACTTTAATGTGAGACAAAACATTTCCTGTTTCATTCTTAGTAAATTACTAAATTTGTTTTAGTCATTTTAATAATAGATCAAGGGAGCACATTTCGGCTTCAGTGTTTTGAAAATGCCTAGTATTATTCCAGTAAATACTTGTAAATCTGTTACAAAATTAAGTTTGCAATAGTTTTTAAATACATTTCATGTTTTTTCCATTTTTGTTTTATTTCTTACTACAAGCCTTCTGAACACAACTGCAATTTATTATTTTTATAAAATTTTAAACAAGCACAGTGGGACAAATTTTATTTTGCACTTTTTTGTGTAAACAATAAACAAGATTTTTTATTCATAAATTAGATTTTCTTTAAATATAAAAATTACCGCAATAAATAACATTATTACTAAAAACCAAGCTTTTCCAGTGTTGGATTCGACTTTTCAGACATAGTTATTTGTGTAACAATGAAAGACATACTTTTTTCCCCAAAAGTGCTGCTTATTTCATGAAGAAAACAATGCACTTAAAGTGAGAAAAAAACATTGTTTATTTGAAAACATCACAAAAATGGCTACTTTTATGACTAAATGACACAAATAAAAGTTTTACCTTTCAACTATAGATGAGTACACATTTTATTTTTGCGCCTAAACGTTTTTACTTTTATCATGACCTTATTGACATTTTTACCAGTGTTTGTTTTTTCTGTCAGTTTCGCTGCTTCAGCAGAAAGATACATTATAAGATCATTAGCATTCGACATGCGCTAGTTAAATTGATAAACACTTTCGAAAATTTCGATACTGACGCATAACGTTTGTTATGATTTCATTACAAAGCGTCCTGTTTATTTTGTTCATTTACTTGTTAATTATAGTGTTGCTCTTTAATTTCGATCTTGATATCTACGTTTGCGAATAAATAGTAAGTTATTCGGAGTAAAAGTGAGGCTATAAATTATTTGCCTCACTACGTTTAGTTTCGCCGCCTAAACTCACTTTTACTCGTAATAACATAATATACTTAGGTATGCTACTATACTTAGGTATGCTACTATTCTGTGTTTCAAGTATTATTTTTTTCTAAACACTAAACAACTTCAGACAATAACATCATAAATTTATTACATTTACAATTTTATCAAAATCATCGTATTACATCAGAGTTCTTCTTTTTAAGAAAATTACCTTCTTGACAAGAAAAAAATTACTCCCTTGGTATTAAATTATATGTAATTTGGAGGACTAAGAAGTAACTTTCTGTTTTGGTAAAACATTAAAATTGTCAAAATAGTAGGATTAGAGAACCCAGATACTCCACCAAGCATCGTAACCTGCTTGGTAATATTTATAAATTATTTCGCGACCACGAGATGTAATGACAAATTTCTCGACCTCCAAAAGATAAGTAGTCGCCATATTACTAAAACATTGAATTTTAGCGCAACTTATTGTTGGTATCAACCTTTGCAAGTGTCAATTTTTTGTGTAATTTTAACTCCTAAGTATACTATAATATCTTGTTGGAAAAACTACAACACACTTTCCTTAACATTTTTATATTTCAATAATTCAGTTAATTTGGTAATTTTTAACTAAATTAATAGTTATTTATGTATCAAAAAAATAAACGACTATTTTAATTCCGAGGATGTGAGTAACAAGAGACTACATTAATAATAACATAAAAAAATTATAAACTTTTCAAATAAACTCAAACAATTTGTCTACATATTCAATTCATTCAATTGTAATTTTAAGAGTAAAAATCGGTATTCATTTATTATATTCCTGAAGAAAGTACTAGATTATAAGTCAAAAACGAGAGAAAGAACCGTCACTTTATTCCCTGTTGAGAGAAAAATAATTTTATTGAAATTTAATTACACATTTTTGGGTTAGTGTAGCTGGACCCTAGTGGTAAAATTAGATCTGAGATTTTTTTTTTAAATGTTGTTATTGGTTTGAAATTAAGCATTATATCAATTATATCCATCCATCTTAATATTAGTTTTTAAAATGTGCGAAACAACTTAGATTTTAAGTTTTTAATTTATGACAACGACAACAATTAATTTTAAATTTGATACTATAATTAACATACAGGTTGACCCGGTAATGTGTAATCGGTCTATATCTTGTTTGTTACCTGATGTATTATCATGCCGTTTTTAATATCCGGTAGATGTATTTATATACAGAGTGTTGTAAACAAAGTGGTGAACCAAAGTTTTTTTTTTTTAAATAAAACACCCTATGTGTTTTTACATTATTAGTTTCTACGTAAAAAAATAATGGTCTTTTGTACTTTACAGGTTTATCTCTTTTCGTTTCAGAATTATTCAACTTTTTGTTATAAAAAAGATTTTTTCAAACTATACTATCATATGCAGGGTGCGCCAGAACTCGCGCCCTAGAGAAAAATGCCATATAAGGTAACATACCAGGAACATGGAAAAAATGTTAAAAAAAAAATTATCTATAAAAATTTCGAAGTTATGAGGGTTTAAAGTTTGCACTTTGACTCTATTTGTTTCTGTTGGAAAAATAATTTTCCAAGTTTTTTTGCTATAGGCTATTAAAAAAGGAAAAAAGGAAAATGTATCCTAAATTGTATCTCTGTTCAATGTTATTTGTGGCTTTTATTGACAAAATTTTTGTCTCTTTACTAAATAATTGTAAAAAAAAACATATACAATATCATCAGTATCATTAAATAGATATAAAAAATGTTAAATGTCAAAAAATAAATGTCTAAATTTTTTGACAGATAGAATTTTTTAAACATTTTTTTCATGTTCTTGGAATCTTACCTTACTTGAAAATTTTCTCTAGAGCGCGAGTTCTGGCGCACCCTGTATGTATTGTGAAAAAAAGAAATTTTTAGTATAGTGGATATTTAAATTAAATTAAAATTTGTGTTATTTGGTCCAACAGCAAAAACTCTAAATTAAAAATGTTCAATTTCTATAATAGCTCTTGATGACAAATAACAAAAATGAGCTTTCGACGTCACAAAATAAAAATTCAATCCTAGAGGAATACTTAAACATAAATCGTGAAAAAATGGTTGTTGAGATTTCTCAAGAGTGGATCTGTATCACAACATTAAATTCCTCACACTTTCTCAACCTATAATCACAGTCATCAATCATCAGCAATCGTCGGTTGGTGTCTTGACGCCCCGTCGATGTCTCTCCACGAAGTGCCGACCGAGAGCGTGAAGAACAAAATCCCGGGTGCTGTCGCTGTCTGCAGCATCCACGGAGGTACGGTGACTGGCCATCTGGGTAGGTAAGCACGTGGGGACCTTCATCTGCCGGTCAATGCAAGCGCGCTCTTCCGCGGCTTGGCCTCGCGCTCCGAGGCTGTACTTAGATATATAACTCGGTGCGGGCCACACGCCCCTCATCCGTCTTTCAACCAGTGTTCAGTTTGCCCTAACACCGAATCCACAGTCATCATGAAATTTGTAAGTGATCAGTGCTCATCATTCATTGCAAGTGATTTTCAGTGAAAAAGTGACATCTCTCATTACAAGTGTAATTTTTTGTATAGTAGTTCATTGGGTTAGTGGCAGCATTTCACCTCATGGATGCATCTATAGAGAAAAATTGCCACAGATGCCTTTTTTCAACTATTTTAAAAGAGAAAACATTAATGACTTCTGCTCGGTGCGAATAACTTTTCTTGTGACAATTTGTGACACTCATTCAAGTACACACATACATTCCATTTAAGTATTCACAAGCGCTCATAATTAATCAGAAATCTGGTGTGCCGTATTGCAAAAATAATTACTTTCTCCTAATCTTAATCTAATTTCTAAAGACATTAAATTGAAAATCTTCATCATCTACAACAAAAATTTTAATTGCTAATTAAACGTTTTATTACAATCACAGTGCACTTTAATAAACTCCATTTAATTAAAGAAAACTTATTCAGAAAATTTTCAAAATTTTATATTTGATACGTGTTGAACATTATGGCCATTGACGGATTTAATGCCATTAACGCCAGCAGTCATTAACTCACTATGCATACTATTTCCTGCAATAAATTCTAAATTGCTACACAATTACAGCAAGTAATAATAACTTTACACAAAGGCAAAGAAACGACTTTGAAAAAGTGCATCCAGGAGGTCAGATACCCGGGAGCATTTCCTCAATGAAGATAATTTGTAAGAAAATCATGCATCACGAGAAATTGTTTGAGCATGAAAGCAAAGTTTTTGGCTTGAAGACTGTGAACCTTGAAAGTGATAACGTGTGTCAAAAAAATTATCAAGGACACATATTATCTAGTTTCTGTTTTTTTTTTTACTATACATCCGTCATATGAAAGCTTGTTGAAGAAAGTTATTACAGTTTGATGACTTTTTTACGACGGTCAGTCAATGGGTATTGACTCTAAAACAACAAATAACAGTATTCAAAAGAATCGTTTGTTTGATCAAGTTGTAATTATTACGTTTCTCCAGACACCTGAAGAGTAGTTTTCCAGTTTGATAGAAGAGAGCATCATGGTCCGGTGAACTAATTGACAATGGACTTTCACTGAATTAGAAATAAAAATCAAAACAAAGTATAAATTTTTCGTCAATCAGCGATAAAGAAACGAACCGCCTAGGGTTTGATTGTTGGTTAATAGATAATTAACATGTAAGAAACGAACTATAAATAAGGTTGATTAGAATAATCTGCATTTATATTAATAGATTGAATGCTCTACTTAACTCAAAATCGTAAAAGGAAAAAATTGTCAAAACACTCCGTGACACCCGCGATAATTAATTAGAGAAAAATCGTGGCCAGTGGCAAACATTGTCGGGCACATAAGGCGTTGGGTAATTGGAAAGCAGTTATTTTGAAGTGAATTCTACTGTAACGGAATTTTTTGTGGATTCGATTTTTTAAATTTGTGTTCATCGAGCATGTCCATACACGCGACATTACATAAGTCATTTAATATGTGGTAATTTGTCACCGTAATTGTCATCGATCTGCTAGTAAATTGACGATTTTCATACCGGCAAAAATATTTTGTAACCAAGCTCATTGTTACGACTTTCAAATCGTGCAAGAGCAAATACACCCAACGTATTATTATCAATAATTTGATTTTATTGCAAGATTGATGAAAACCAAGAAGCCTAATTCAATCTGAATTAATTAGGCACTTTCTTAGTTGACACACTGAAAAACGTGCCAAAATCAAAACTATAGTGAAAACGTGACAGATGGTTAAAGAAAGCGATGATGGTACAACTGAAATTTTTATTTCAATAATATATTTATTGAACTCGTTTGATAAAACTGGATCTGCTTTGTTTAGGTCACTCGCGACCCAGAGATTTTCACCTAATCTGTGCAAATTATCAACGATAATAAATACTCTGTTGTGTTAGCTCGACAATGGATTCTTATTAGATAGCCGTAACGCATGCGATGTTATGTAAGGAAAGTGTCGTACTTCGCTTAAGGACTGTTATTGGACATGCGATCAACCTTATCTCCTTGACGGTTTCTTGTCTTTAATGAACATTTAGTACGGTTCACATACTTATCGATTGCTCCTTCTTGCATAAGGCGCGATAAACGGCAAGGAGAAACCCGCTAAATCCGACTACTTAACATTTTTAATTGATTGTTTCGCGACTCATCATTTAGATTAGTTTTTTATGTCAACTCTTTCGCGATTTCCTGACAGTCTAGTTTCGCCGTTTTTTAAATTATTATAAATTGTATAAGACGTGACAATTAGCCTCGTTGAAGAGTAATTAATTTAATTAATTAAATTACCACAACAATGCAAAGAAAGAGCGGATTTTGTTTAAGGAAACGGAAACGAAGTCTAGTCAAGGTGCTTTCATTGCGAAATGAGATACAGCCACGTATTTGCAATAGTTCTAGGGTTTGCCCATTTGTACCCTTGACCGTTACTAAAAATTTGGATTTTTTCATATTTCTCTCCTTTAAAAGTATTGCAATGTTAATTAGCTTTTAATTAACAATTTAAAATGACTAAACTGCTTATTACGATCAAGTTTTATGTTTCAAGAGATAATCACGTAAACCACATGGTTTACTAATAATACATTTGCAAATACATTTTTTAACAGATTTTTTAAACATTATTATGCCCAAGTATAGTAATTTTTAATTCTTAGAAAGCTATCTCGAGAGAGTTTGATTTAATATTAACGTTTTCTCCAAAATTTAATAAACTAAAGCAAAATAAAGCTGTCCATTGAGTTTAATATTTTTTCAATAAAGATAATTTATTTAAGCTTAATTGCAGTAAATTGCAAATAATTCTAGATCGGCAATCAATTGTTATTGAGGAATTTACTTCTAGATTCCTTTTTAAAAGTTGTCATATCATATTTTGTGTTGCACGTTAATAACATGTTTTTGCTTGTTATTTTGTTGCTTAATGCAATTTTATGCATATATATTTGTTGTAACTTTCTTTAAATTAATATAAATGAAAAAATGCTGCTATTCTATTGTCGGCGATTCGACGCGAAAGTTTTTGGTGTAATTGTCCGATGCTTTTTCTTTGAGAAATTACCATTTTTATTCGCTGTTTGAGTATTTGTTGCATCACATTTCGATTAGGTGGTGTAACCAAACGATCGATGTGTTAATGGAGATAATTAAGGGTCTTCAGGATCTGACAAGGCCGTTACTCTTCTTTTGTTTATTAAAAAAAATGATAAACACCGCACCTTTGAGATCATTTGAACCGGTTAAAGTGATGTAAACAACACGTAATTCTAGGGTATCCTGGCGAAAGCTCACCTTGAAAGTCAAGGTCGTGGAAAAGGACGCCTTATTTGGTAATTGGGATTAAAATTTCAACGACTAATCGCCAATTCCGATCAACAGTTGTAATTTACCAAGAATGCGTATATAGTAGCCAGTAAACAGAGCGTATCTCGCACGAAATCCGTTGCTAAATTTGTTGTTTCAACAGCAGACGCATATCAATGTGCACGATTCCAAATGGACAGCGTTTTTTCACACCCGGAAATAAGCTAATTTCGAGTTTGCACGGCCGCCGCTTATATAATTTAATTAGAAACAATGCTCAATTTTGGCACGTAGATAGTGCAAATCCAGCGATTTTGATTCATACGAATGAGTTTCACTTTCTCGCGAAGGACTTGCACAATGTCACTTGTTGGTAAATATGTTGATAATGCCCAATGCAGGTATTGCATAGATTCAGATGCACCCGATCTGGGTCAGTGGGATAAGAAAATGCAATTCGTCACGTGTCGCGAGCCAAAACAACAAACTCTCTCGCCGGGCGCATCCACCATTTTGCAACGATTTGAAAGTAGACCGATACTGTTAAGGTCGCGATATGAGGTTAAATGTTAACTGCCATTACACTCAAATATTTATTGCACTTCGTAATGCCTGAAAAGAGTTCCGGTATTTAATTATCGGAGCTGGGAGTGGCCCGGACGCCTCCACCCTTTCTAAACAACACTTCTTTACCACAATCAATTAATATTTTTATGTAACAACAAATTGCGAGAAATTATCATACGTACCTATAAAAATTTTACACTTAAATTTTAATTTTTAAATCTGGAAATTCAAATGCTTACAGTGTGAAGAAAAATTAAGAACTTGCTACTATTATAAGTACATAATTAATTTGTACATATTTAAAAAACTTTTTTTTGTTCACATATTTTGTTTTTTTTATTATTTTTCCATCTAAATGTCATTGTTTTAAGTATTTTTTTATTATACCTGCATCATAAACCTAAATTAAAACACGCTGCAGCGTGCGTAATTTGGCTTTTATAGCACGCTGAATTTTAATGTTGTCTAGGTAACAAGAAATAGTGAAATGTCTGGACCATTCATAAGCGCCTTTAAAACACTTGGGACGTTAAAAGTACTCCGCTGACGCGTCGTGCTCTTAAACCCGTCGTGCGTGTTTTAAAGGCTTGCTTATAAACTAGTATTATAATATACATTATATTTATTTTATTTCAATTTCTTAATAATTAATTAATTTTTCAAATTTTTTAAGTAGGTAAAATAGTTCCTACAGCTAGGCTTCACCTTCTTAAATTTTATTTTATTTTTATTTATTTTTATTTTATTTTTTTATTTTTAATAAAAATCAATTTTTAATTCTATCAAAAACGTTGCAATGTAACATATAAATATGATATTATAAAATTTATTTATTTAACATTATTGTAAAATAACCAACTGCACCAAATTATACATATAAATTTTACATAACATTTTCACACAAAAATCATGAATATAATTTGTAAAAATAAGATTTTGACTTTTTTTACTGTCATTAATAACTATTATGTATTCTTTCTTGTTTCTTTAAATTAAATTTCGGTACAATTATTGTAACAAGTTCTTTCCCGATAACTACAGTAGAAACATTTTTGCACTGTTTTTTCAACAAAGTAAAAGTAAATGACAAAGAAACTATAAAAAAATATTTTGAATTAAACATTTACTTAATTGGTTTTGTGCAAACTAACTTTAATGTGTTGAAATTTGTGTCTTTTTGGGATAGAACGCGTCAATTTATACTCGTAAAGAAATGTCGACGTTTCGCCAGCTCTTGTAAGAGGCATCTTCAGGAAGAAGGGCTAGGTAGTTATGGTTTCGCTTCTGGTATTGTTTAGATATTAAGTTACCATGCCATAGCCTTTCTTCTTTTTGTCCTGAAGATGCCCGAGTAAAACGTCGACCTTTCTTTATAAATTGGCGCAGTCTAACCCAAAAATATCCAGATTTCGATCTTACTAGAGTCGCAAAAACCTACTTTCATAACTCTAAAGTGTGTTTATAATTAAAAAATAAATGTACGGTTTTTATGAGTAAAACACATAAGATTAGATATTAAAACACAAAATTTTTTACCATAAATAGTTTATATTCTGCATACAAAAGAAAGAAAACTATGATTATTAAAAACATTAGCAAAATATTAATTCCTTGATTTGGCAATTGTAACTTTAATTTTAATCAGCAAATTTTTATTACCTAACGTAAACAATTCTTAAATAAACTAAACATAAACTGATTAAAAAATAGTAGAGACATATTTTTGCAAAATAGCAATTTCATCAAATGGTGTTTGATAAAAAACTTACCTACTAATTACACCAAGTGAATTAATTATTACCAAGATTTTAAATACTATTTTTTGAAAACATTTTTTCTTTTTATAAACTTTGAGTCATCCTTAGTTTTACTAAAAATTTAATTGGTTATAATACTAGAAACAGTAAAAATTGGTTTTCATGCAATTTAGTAACGAAAAATCCAAAAAAAAACTGCTATTACAACTTTAAAAATGGTAGAAAACAAACTTTAATAAATAAAAAATAAACGAAATAAATCCAGCTTCAATTTGAATGAAAAATATGTGAACTAATTTTCTGTTCGCAGACCATCGTAGTGTTCTTCTGCTTCTTGGCCCTCGTCAGAGCTCAATTCTTCGGAGATTTCGAATCACTGGGCGGATTCGGTGGCGGTCTGGACTCCCCGTTGCACGCAACCAGAGATCCCAGACAAAATCCAGGCCCCGTTGTCTTCCCTCCGGCTCCTCCAGACAACGGTGAAACCAGCGGTGTCATTGTTGGCGCTTCTGGATACGGTTTCGTTCCACCAGGCCACAGTAAGATCCGTGCTTTTTTCTCGCGCACCATTCAGCAAACAATGCGTTCGATTCATAGCATGTGAACGCGTACAATGGCTCATTTAAGATATATTTACGTTGCCGCAATCACGACCATTAGCTTTCTCATTATTTATCATCCTCGAAGGCGATCCAAGCTTGGTGCTTGTGTCGCTGTTGGAGGGCTTGTGTCCGATTTGATATACCGACGAGTTGCTTACTGCGTTCGATTCTTTTTCAAATGAAGGCAAAAACCGCTCAACCGCTCAAGCAATGCTTTGTAGGAGTGTTTCTAAACCATTTTTACAGGTTTGATTTGATAATGAAAAATCATGTAGATACACATTCATAACAATTCATAATTAAGACATTTACTGCTAAATGAACATATAATCTGGCAATATCATTGAAAATTTCATTTCAGCGAGATTAATTAACTTTCCCATTTTTCATAATAGCTCACAGTGAAACGTTTTAATTTATAATTCGCTACGACATCCCATTTTACTAAATTATCAAACCGGATTTACGTGTTACCAGGCAAGGATATTCCTTTATTTCAGATGCAGGTGCCCGAAAAAGTTTCTAAATAGATTTATTCAAAGGTATGTATTTACCAAACAAGGCAACAGTCCTCCACAAATAAAACTAGTCTCTTTAAATTAATTAATAATTCATTCTATGCATTTCCTTAAGTGATATTTGTTCGGCCTCATGGTAAAGGACGACTTTAGGCAAGGTTATGGTCGAACTGGACCAAACATTGAATCCTGAAAGTTTCTTGCATAAGTGATTTATCTTTGATCATTTGTTGTAGAATTTCTGACCTTACTGAAATAATCCTTTCAATTTTGTACTCGAAATAAATTTTCAATTTCTCTTAGGTAACATTTGAAACAAATGATTTAAATTAATGATAAATTCGTGAAATGTTTCAAATAGCAGTAATTACCAAAACACTATTGTTCTCACGTTTACCATATGGTATTAGAAAATAGTAATTAAATGAGAAAACTATTCAAGGTTAGCGCAATTCGTCAATTTATTTTTTTTATAGAGGAAATAAACCTGATGAATTCGCCAAATCTCCGGTTCCAATAAATACCAATAATAATGCAGCCAAGGCTAGGATTATTTTTATCCTTAACATTTTTTTCATGAAATAATTTTTTGCGAGGCTAACTTTGGATTTTTTACAGGATTTAGTTCACAGTATTTCGCCTTCTTCTGATCTCCATCTGTTCTCATCGCAAATGCCATTGTAAAATAATTTCCGAATTTCAGCTCTTGTATATAATGCTTAAATTAGATCAATTGTACAACTTGTCCTATTTAATGTCTTGTAATTATTATTTAAGTTAGATTAAGTATTTAATTAGGTTTAGTTAAAACTATTGCAATTGTCGACATGTGCAATATGTTATTTATTAAAGTTGTTTTATAAAATTTTGTGGTTTTGTTTTTCTCACCTCATATTAAATTAAGTAACAATAATACGAAATGTGTGAAACTGAAAAAATAATTGTTTTTGTATTTATATGTAGTAAGAGACAGATTTACACATTTTGAAACACAAGCAATTAATTAAATGTGTATAGGCATGAAAGAACAGTAATGTGAAACTAATAAAATTTTATTACCCATTCACGACTTGTCACCATCATTTGAATAGATTTGTAATTAATACGCATTTTTTTTCAATTTACAAACGAAAAATTTTAACAATGAGAAAGTGTCTCGATTACTATAAGTTTTGTTTTGATAACTCCTATTATGGTGTGCAAACAAATAAAATTTCGTCAGATGACGATATTTCTCAGTTAAGACATAACATGAATTGATCACATAAGGTATGCTGTCTATTCTTTTAAATTACGTCAGTTGCCAGTAAAGATATCATCTATTACATATGACCTTAGAAAGATTTTAATAGAGATCATCTTTCTTCCGGAATTCAAGTTTGCAAGTGCTTGTAGAGAAACTTCTCTACTTTAAACGAGGTTAATGCTTCTAAAATGTATATCAAGTACATACATTGCTTATAATGCAACTTATATAATTTTATTTCATGATATACTATTCAAATTAGTCACCTCGTTTTGAAGTACTAGTGTTAAATAAATTATTATTAATTAGGTTTTTAATTAGTTTGCGAAGGTTACAAACAAACGATACATGCCAAAGATGCTTATTAGATCGAAACAAGAACTTGTTTGTATTTATTTTGAACGTAACAAATAACATTGTGCTATTTTTTAACATTTGGTCTTCAAAGAATCTCTAGTGATCTAGAAAAAAGGTTAAAATTAAATTGAACAAGACGTGGAAAAGAACAAGGCAACTATGGGTAGATTCCAGTCTCAAACTATCTACTGTTTTCAGTTGGTCACGTAGACACTATGTAACCTTCAAAAGATGAAATAATGAAAAAGTGCCACCAGCGCACACTTATTGCTTTCCTACTGTGAAGCAATCATATTGTACAAAAGCTTATGAGACAATAATAACTCAATAAGTAAATAAGTAAATGTTATTCAGAGTTTGGTCCAAAACGAACAGTTATCAAGAAATCTGAAAACTGTAGCAGCAATCGGAAAGAAATCGTATTTTTCCCATAAACAAATATAAATTAAAATATAAACTTACACAAATTTCAAATAAGTTATTTAAAAATATTTCATTCTAGGTTGTTATTAAAAAATTTGACAGAATTAAAACAAAAATTTAATTATTAAAAAAAATAACATTTTTTACCACTTATTTTTTTCTAATTATCGAAAAAACGCTTGGCTCTATACTTTTTGCTTGCACTATAATACAAGAAAAATTTTACAATCGTGTAGACAAAACTGTTTTTTCATTGCTTATTATACGAGTATGTAAAATGTTTTTAAAAATAGGCGCTTATATTTCAAACACAACGAACGACTCAAAAAAAAATGGAATTGAATTGAATTGACCAAATATTACAAAATTTGGAATGGTTACTTGCGAGAACATACTTTTTAAACTGGTGATCACGAAAACCGGATACATCTACTCAATTTCCGGTTCCAGCTATTGCAAGTCACATTTTCTGTGTAGAGTAATCAATTTTGAATAAAAAACGCATAACTTTTAATACCCCTAAAATGGACCGTTTAAAAGATATTTTAATTTAAAGTGAGAACTGCACAGCGCTGAAAGTGCTGAAAGCAAAATGTATGAATTTTGAATGAGTGATATCCACGGCAACGAATAGCCATGATCACATATTTTGCTGTCAGGCATCTGACAACTTGAGATTGGAAAATTATTAGACGATTAATCGAAAATATTTAATAAAAGAGTTTACCTCAGAGTCCAAACATAACTTAGAATAAATGCAAATTGATCTCGTAGCATTTCATTCATAAAAAATTCACAAAAACTTATCGTCAAAGTTAACAGATGTCTTGCAACGATTTAGGTGACCATAGTCATTGGTTGCCGTAGATACCACTCATTCAAAATTCATACAGGGTGTTTCACATAATTTTACGAGGCTTGCGCCTAATGTACGCACCCAAATATACAAAAGTCACAAAACACTGGATACAAAAATACAGTTCTCATTATTTAATTTTTGGAAACCCATGACAGTAGTTGTCAAACCATTGTCAAGCTAATCACTGTTCCATTAATAGTCATAAACTGCAGTTTTTCAGAAACAATTATCATTTGTTCTATCAAGAGACGGCATGAATATGATTCTAGTTTATCGATCTTAATCACTAACTAAAAACGTTGTATTTTTTTAAAGGGTGAACAAACTAGAGAAGATTATCCAATTTTTCAAAATTTGTAATCGAGTTCGTATCGGAATATGTATTATTGATTGCATCTCACAGGCGCAGGTCTCGTAAAATTATGTGAAACACCCTGTATTTTTCATTTTCAGCGTTGTGCAGTACTCACTTTAAATTAAAATATCTTTAAAACGGTCTATTTTAGTGGAAAAATAGGTTATGCGTTTTTTATTCAAAATTGGTTACTCTATCGATTTAAGCAATAAAACATTAGTGTTAAGAGGCCAAAAAATGGAAAAACACAGAAAATGTGACCTGCAACTGCTGTAACCGGAAATTGGGTAGATGTATCTGGTTTTTGTGATTATTAGTTTAAGAAATGTTCTCGCAAGTAACTATTCCAAATTTTATAATATTTGGTCAAATCGTTCCAAAGTTACAAAAAAAACAAATTTCCATACCCAAATTCCAAGGGCTATAAAATTGTTATCAGTAGAGATAGGGTACGAGTTTTTATAAAAATTAACATCATTTCATTTTATGGGTCACTTTTAAGGTTCAAGAAAGTGAAATTGACTATTCACCATTTTGAAGCTTTAAGTTTCTAGTTTCAAGATCTTTTGGCAATTTTTTTTGTGCTACGGTTATCACGTAATCCTAATAGTGCGAAAAATAAATTCTAATTTTTTTTGTTTTTGCTTTTGATCCATGGACGTGGGGATTTTTTTTTAGTTAAATCAATGCACAGCCCGGATAGCCTGTTCATTCATCTTTAATATGCTTTTGATATTCTAAGTCAATTTGTCGCTGAGATATCTGACATTAAATGCAAAAAGATCATTTTGTTTTTGATCATCGATATCTCAGCAACTACAGAGAATATAGGGTAGTGTCAAAAACTGGAATAAATGTCTTACAAGATCCTTTTATAACTTTTTGAAAAATATTTTTTTTACCCTAACTTTTTGCGTTGTTTTAGTAAATCTACTGCCTATTCACTAATATTGATGGGGAGACTAATGTTTTTAGGTGTTTTTACAGCGTAGTGTACCCGTCATATCCCCGTAAATTTTTAAATCGATCCATCACACCGATGTCTCGGACCGATTGATCAAAGTTTTACAAAAGAATTAAAGGAACAATTGTAGATATTGTTTCTGAATATTGTCTAATCTTCGTCAAAATGAGACACAAAAATCGCATAACTTATAAACAAAACCAAATTTCGTTCCCAAAATACGATCACATTTTTTATATAACTTTAATTTATATTAATTATTATTTTCTAAAGGCAAATGATTAAAAAAAACTGCTTGGTTTTATACTTTATATTCACCCTGTATAATCTATTTATTATTAACACTAAGATTTAATAGCAATCATAAGCCTCACATCACCGTTAAAACTTTTTCTTCTTGGTGTAGTCGATTGAAAGTAAAAATGCACACCTTATAAAACATAAAAGTGACGTAACTGATGACGCCTGTAATTAACCTGAATAACCTATTCCGTTAAATCTTTTCCTTCTGATTTTATTGCAAATCTCATTAGCCACCTAGCAGTGGACGTTGTAGACACTTTAATAAATAAGTTTCAGTGCGAAAGGGACGTATTTCAGCTTGAACGAAATGATACCGAATCGTCTAGCGCCATCTATTATGCTTTCTCGTTTCAGGCCAATGAGCACCATTTGTTATGTTAATGCAGACATTCACTATCACCTTACAAATGACTCGAGCTTTATCAACATTTTACATCTATCTCCGTGTCTTGTTATGACGTATTTACAGAAACAATGTACATATAGGTGTACGCAATCAATGCTAAAATTTCGAAAAAAATTCTCTGTTGTTATTGTGTAGTTTTCGATCTTGTTCAGGATAAGCTTTGATTTATGGCAAGGGGGCTCAACTATTCACCCAGAGGAATTTCAAGCAAATTTATGATGATTTACGATTAATGCAGCACTAAGCTAATATTACAATTCGAAAATTATACATTTTATGCTTCGGTGGTAAGTGTATAAGTAATTTCTTGAAAATTAGAGGCATTATGTCAGAAAACAAAAATGAAAGTTCCTAAATGTATCATAACAAGTCAAATATGAAAATTAACATATAATTTGTGCAAATTTCACTGTGTTCTGCTACAATTTTATTATCCGCTGACGGATTTAACAGTAAATGGGCAATTTTACCATTCATTTTTTTGTCTCAAACAGGATACGTATCTTGAGGGTCGATTTAGTCCGGTATGTTAGCAGATCAAGGTTTTCTATTACTAACTCAATTAGCACCGTTGTGCGGCATTGTTCGACACTAAGATGAAATAGGTAAATAATAAAATTAACTTGTAGAAAAATCACACCTCTTGTCCTCAAAGGTCAAAACTATTGAGTAATAAGAATTGTATGTTTTCTGGATTTTACGAATGATTGATCTTGCGTAGAAGAGTAAAGACTGCACGTGTTTCGCGTTAGCAATGGTCAAATTAAAGCAAGTAAAGATCAATTTTGAGTTTTGGTGAAAGTGCCTATTCACGATTGCGGAAACATAATTAAAAAAAAACATGTTTTTGACCTTAAGTATAAAAAACCGCATAAATTATTATCTTGCGGAATTGCAGCCATATCCTGCAATATTTGAAAAAAGTGGACAATATGTCAAATGAAAAAGAGTACAATAATTCCCAAGGAGAATAATGACGTACACAACTTAATAAAATTCATTTTTTTTTTGATATTCAGTTCGTTTCCACATCTCTCGGAAAACTATCTAAAACAATAATTAATTAACTCTAAACTTAATCAGCAAAAGTCAATTAAAGCGATTGCGTTAATGATCTGCTTGCTAATTACCAATTAAACTTGGCCGTTGTAGTATACATTGATGAAACAACGAATTAAAAACGGAAAAGCAATAGATATGGCACGACAAATTGACTCTACAAGTTAATTAATTAATCTAAGAAACAAATCGATTCTAGCTGTCACGTCGGTAATTAAAATGCAATTTAAAACTCGATTTTGAGATACATTTATGTTTGTAATTTGTATTGCACAAATAGTAGGTATGGTTTTACATACCACAGCATGTGCCAGCTAATAAGACTTGCTTGCTCAATATCTCATCAGTTGGCAGTTGGGCACAAAATATAAAAATTAAAAAATTAAATTAAAAATTAATTAATTAAGTTAAAATTTAGACACAAAATTACAAAGATCAAAATTTTTAATTAAATTAAAAATAAAAATCACTATAAATACAGAGTTAGTCATTTATAAAACCCTTACCGATGTTCAGACGCAACCCAAAATACATTCTCATTGAGAACTTGGCTCTTGTTGCGTTTGAAATATTTCAATTATTAATGTTAATTCAAAGTAATTGTTGACATGTCATACATTAAGTTTGATACTGTCATCAATCCTACTTTTTTCCCTTCAATTCGAAATTTATTAAAAAAACAAACATGATCTTGAATTTTTGTATATGAAGAATGTCACAAAAAACTGTGGATAAATTTGTACCGTCAAAGATACACCATAAGACTCCAAGTTATAAAAACTGTCAAAGGTCAAAGGTATCGCAGATATCTAAGTTCATAACTTTAAAAATTTTCAAACAAATCATCAATTAACACATAGTGGTATCTGAGAATGTATTTTGGGTTGCGTCTTTCGGAGTCTTTATTATACCAGGTGAATAAAAAGTTTGGAACCAAGCGTGTTTTTCGTAAACTAACTACTTTACGAAATAAATAATTAGTGTAGTATAAAGTATAATTAAAATATGACCATTTATCAAGAATAACATTTTTCGAAATTTCTTTTAGTTTTCGAGTTTTGGAAAAAAAAATTTTTTTAATGACAACCCACCATGATAATTTTTTTAATTAAAGATTATGATCTAAAAATGACCTTTAATTAAATAGAGTTTTTTAGTCCATACTTTTTTTTTTAAATAAATTATTAAAGTTGCGTTCCGAGCTCATCACGAAGATTTTCCGAACTTAACCGAAGTGGTCGTTTCATGAATTGGATAATGGGAGAGCCTTGATTTTTATGCAGAATTCTTTGGGGTGGTTTCGAATAGACTAAAAATAGAAGAAAATGAGTTCTAATTGGATTTCTTTATCCATCCGGAACAATCCCAAAGCACGTGCACCAAAAACCGGGTTCTCCAAGGACCAAATGCATGAAATGACCCCTTCGGTTAAGTTCGAAAAATCTTCGTGATGAGCTCGAGACGCAACTTTACCAAGTTATTAAAAAAATACTGACTAAAAAAAAATTTTATTTAATTAGAGGTTATTTTTAGATCATAATCTTTAATTAAAAAAAATATCATGGTGGGTTGCCATCAGTGGCGGTTTCTCTTAAGGCCGCTTTGCCGCGCGCCCCCCCTGGACAAGAAACCATAAAGAACGTTTTATTTACTTTAGAGTGATTTATTTTATTATAAAAGTTTAATTAGAGATTTTGTAATTTGAATAAAAACGCCCAAAGAAACCCATTTATTTTTTATAAACCCAGAAATTAAGTTATTTCGATGGTACAGCGCAAACAGGGCGCAAACAATTCCGCGGCCCTGGTTGTCATGACAACGCATCTATASCTCAGCTCTACGCTTCTGCTAGCCAATCAAAAAATTYAAATGTTCCTCACGTGCTCACCACTATATCAAGACTTGGCCGCTAAGATTCTGCGGCCACGCTTAGGCGAMGGGTATRAAAGTGAGATAGGCGCATTGGAAACACGAGAGTATCGGCGAGGGGGTTCTTTGGATTTAAGGGGAGATAAAAACCAATTAGCTCTGCGTATTTTAAAAGAAGCGCCGAGTAATTAGTGATTTTATTAATTTGGGTTTTTTTGAGTTAAAATGACATTTACGCTTGCACAAAAAGAATAGCGTCTTATTAGTTGGATTTCGTGATTTTTGACCGATTTGACAAAGCACATGCAGTTTTCATTATAGTTTTAATTTATGTTTATTGTGAATTGACAATGAGTGGAAGTGCAAATAGTGTAAGTGTTTTAATAAAAACAGATTTTAACAGACTTCCTCTAGAAGACAAAATAAAAATTAAGGCACTCAGAGGTCACGACGAAAATGAGGAATCGGGAAATCGCGGAATTTTTAGGGAATTAATCGATTTTACTGCAATATTGCATTATGCAAGTCATTGACAATTTTGAAAAAAAAGTGTTGGAGAAATTTATATCTATGAAGGACCGAAGAGCAGAATTTAATTTTAAGAAATATCTTTTTTTGTGTTATTAATACATATTTTATTTCAAGTAAGTTTTTTTATTGTTACATTATTTTTAAATTGACGTCAAAGTTATCTGCAAAAGTTTGATTATGACCGCACCATCTTCTTGAAAGTTATTAATCTGATATTGACATCTCACTGGACGTATTAAAAATTAGGGTTTGTTTACAACACACTCATAGTCACTTCCAACTATGACGCCAAATTTTAATAAAAACTCGTTATATACCATCATTTTAATTGCGACCCCCCTGTCTAAAAGTCACGAGCCGCCACTGGTTGCCATTTAAAAAAAAATTTTTTTTTCAAAAGTCGAAAACTACTCGTAAAAGAAATTCCGAAAAATGTTATTCTTCATAAATGGTCACATTTTAATTGTACTTTACGCTACACTAATTATTTTTTTGTAAAGTGGTTAGTTTACGAAAAAAAATGCTTGGTTCCATACATTTTATTCACCTGGTATGTGACTTATTAAAATATTTTTTGGCCTCCTGACATGTAAATGTCAAATTAACACCTATTGAAAGACTGTATTTACAGTCGCCTGGGTATTTTACGCACGAACGTGTGTAAAGTGACAGTTTTACCGCATGGCCAAAATTATCTTCATAGACATTTATAAAAAAAAACTGTTTGTAAGATGAAAACATTTTTAATAAAACTCTCTACACACAACCTTTCAATCTTAGAACTCCTTTTTCTTTACACCACTTTATAAACACATTGTACTGGGCTTCATACCTTGCTCGCGATTTTTCGGGCAATAGCTCGGTTGTAACATTTTCTGCAGCACTTCTGATTTCTGGTGGGGTACACATGGGGCTATTATCGCTCGACATTTTGAAGCATAAAATCACCAACGATAACAAAATTTTGTGTCTTATGAGAGTTTGAGACGTTTTTGCGTCTTTTTTAATTGTTTGACATTAGAGTGCATAGCCACCGTGATATTTATTGTCAAACTTATTTATTTCTATTAATTCTGAATTTTGTAATTTTGGATTTTTGTTTAAACGTCGGCCAAAAAGCTTAATACAAATCTTGTGCGTTAACCATTTTACAGTGCTCAATTATTAAAGCACTCCGCTGCGCGTCATGCTTCAAATTCATTTCGCACTGAGTTTTTACTAAATACAAATGAGTTTAGAACAAATTAAAAAAAAAATAATGCATTGGGAAATAACAAATAACAAGTATATTCTTCCCAAATGGAAAAATTCCACTAGTGTAGAATATGCCATTTTAATCTAAACTAGTTCCAGAATATACTTTTTCTACGACCAAAATTTAGAAACAATTTGAACAAATTTATGTGACCATTACCGAATTCGTAATGACCATTCACACTAGTGTGAGAAAATTTATGTGGAATATTCTCGCGCAGTGTTAAAGAATATGATTTTTCCGTAAATAAAAATCAACCAAGAAGATTATTATTCCATGATAGTTGAAGAAAAAGTTTTTTATTAACACTACCAATATGAAAAGTGTAACCTTAATCTGCTGTGCCTAAACTTTTAAATCTCGTTCATATTTAGCCTAGTCATGTTTGGTAACTTTCATGTTATTAGGTTGGTGTGAAATGTCAAACAAAAAACAAACGAAACGTAGAAGTAGAAAGAAAGAAAAAAGTGACTTGATACCCAAACAAACATCGTAAAAGTGTTTTTTCCTAAAAACCTGAAATAATTTGCTTCTTCACTGGAGGAGGCATGTCTGAAAGAGTAATCCTTAATAAAAATCAAGCACAAATCGACGGAATATTAGACGGTTCTCAGAAGCTGGTACAAATTGAGGTTATGTTCAATGCATTAAATTGAGTTTAATTTGATTTAGTTACAAATATTAACAACAGAAAGTCGTCCATCTAGTGAATTCAACGAGTTTATAACTCCTCTCCCAAACATGGTGATAGGAAGCGATGGGCGCTTTGCCTATACAAACCATCTACTCAACCCTTATGAAAGAGAACATTGGTGGATACCAATGGATCATTGCTATGCCAGACCGTGGAATTGGCGCCCTGAAAGTACATTTTTGCGCCCCACGAAGACGCTTTTTATGCCGAAAGTACCGTCAAGCAGAAAAAAGACAACAAACCCCTTGGCGCCTATACAGGAATGTGATGATGTTGTAGACGTTGTTACAGATAGTGAAGAACCTACACCAATTTATGATAAAGTGAAAGCTAAACATTTAATGGAAGAATGTGAGAAACATGCAGCAATGGCAAGAGTTGATGAGGGTAATGACGACTGGGAAGAAAGCGTTTCAAGGTTAGTTAGGTGAATTTCAATGAGCAGAAAGAATAAAATTACAATTATGTTATTTGTAGGCTTAACTGGACCACCACACAAAATAGATTATTCAACGGAGTTGTCAGTATTTTAAATGCTGATCACTTAGCACGTCTAGCACATTCAAATTCACATAATGAAGCTATAGCCAGGAGAGTTACAATTGATAAATCTGTAGAAAGAATGCGACGATTAATGGCCACAGTTTCATGGGATCCTAAATATACACAGTGGTTGCATCAAATTTTAATTGACCATCTTAATACCTCATACCTGGCTGCATATCTTGATATACTTCAAGTAAGACAAAACCAAACAAATAATTCATTTAACTACATTATTTCCCATTAGACTCTTAGGTCCAAGTTACCAACATTCGTTGATAAAATGATGGGTGCCGCAAATTCTAGTAAATTAAGTATTTTAAGTTACGAAACCCTCTTTCCCCTATTGAAACGACCTTGGGATCCTGTTGCCTTGAGCTTAATGCAGGATAAACCAAAAAAATTACCCGGAAATCCTGTCATTGTGGTAGTACCATCTACACCTATTTCGTCAAAAAGAATGTTAAAGTGGATCAGTTTGTTGTCTAATTTGGCCACCGTGATTACAGTGCCTGCAAATTACGGAGGTAACTTCCATATTAAATAAATTGCCTTAATTATCTAAGAAATAAATCGCTGTTCTTGTTCTAAACTAAAATTTTCTTGAATTTACTTCCTTGAAGTATGAAAAATATTACATTTCTAGGCGGACTGCACAAGACGACTATGATGAATTGTGTGGATCAAATGTTTGTTATAACTAGAAACAAAATCCAGGACATCCGGCTGGATTATCCAGGAAGAAGTATCGTTTTGGCCGGTTTTGGGTTTGGAGCAACTCTTGCATTGCAATTAGCTCAAGTCGAGCAAGTTTTATGTGTCATAAGTATTGGTTTTTCACTTTTAACGGCTGATGGTAAAAGAGGCGAACCCGATGATAATTTATTAGAATTACAATGTCCTGTTCTTTTTGTAATTGGACAATGTTCAAACACTTCCTTGTAAGTATTTTTAAAAGAAATAAATTATTCTAATAAAGAACAAAACGTAGGCAAGAAGATATGGAAGATTTAAGGGAAAGAATGAGGGTGGAAACCGGGTTAATTGTGGTTGGGAATGCCGACGACAATTTACGTGTGAGTAAGAAGAAGAGAAAATCTGAGGGTATAACTCAGAGCATTGTTGACCGATGTGTTGCTGTAAGTAATTTTCGTCTTAAAAAATATTTTAATCAACCATTCGTTAGGATGAAATTGGGGAATTTATAAGTGGAGTAATTTTGTCTCCATACCCTCCACAACTTAGACAGTCTCCCACTAATCTAACTACAGAGGGGCTTGTGTCCAAAAAATTAAAATCGGAAAGGAAGAGGTATAATTCTAATACAAGTTCCATTGACAGTGAGCCTCCATCTCCAACTCCAAGGATAAGTAGACCAGGTCAAAACAATTCTCACTGTAAGTCGACTTTTAATGTTTTTGGTGGAGGTGCTGTAAACGTAACCAAAGTAATAAATAAGGTGGTGGTCATAGTAGAGTTGTGTTCCAAAAACATTGAAAGTTATAAAAATTCCAACTAGAAATATATTCATGTTGGTTTTTTTTGACAGTGGGACGTCCACCTGGGTCGAAGTCCAAAGCAAAAATGGAAGCTAAATGGGCAGCGCAAGGTACCACCCCATCTTCTCCTAGTAATAGCCCTCCTCACTTATCCAACACACCTGACACATCTTCCAATGACAGTATCCTTACAGACAAATTATCTCTTAACAATCCCGATTCATTCCCCGCCGTCAAAAAACTTAAAACTTTAAAACCAACAGTCGTATCACCGGAAAAAGCTACAATTAATCAACACACTTCTTTAGCAATATCAAACCAAAATACTGGTTAGTACTTTTTGTTCCACTATGCCTGTTGAAATAACTCTTTTAAATTGGAATTTCTTCAACAGCAAAAGCCATGGGACTGCAAAATAGATCATTGTCCGGTTTGTTACAAGGCGACGTTTCATCGTTAATGCAATCGAAGTCAAATTCGTCGGGGATCAGAGGTATAAGATTGAATGCAAGACAGTGTTAATAATGTTTTGCAGTTTTAGAAAATGTGAAAATAACGGGCGGTTTAAATCCGAAATTTTTCTCAAATAACGGTAAGATGATAGATATGTCCAAAGTATCAGTGATTAATCCAAAATCAAATAATGTGAATTCGTTAGTTTTGTTACCTGATGGTAAAATTAAGAGTTTTGCACCTAATATTAAAATACCAGGTGAGGAAAATACTTTTTTAGTGATTATTTTTAATTTTTTCGTTTAAGGAGGAAGATACATTACTTCAAAACGGCAATTGTTGGGTAATAGGCCACCAAAGTCTGTAAAAAAGGTGTCATACATTTCACAACCAATGCAAACCAACCTATCTCCTCCGACAAATCTAACAAGTCAAGACATCATGAATCTGCCTATAATATTCGCAGACGATAACCAAATTCTAGACAACACTCTCACTCAAACAGTACCGTCATCACCAAACTCAAAAATACTTTCTGCCAACTCTGGTAGCAAGTTTATGCTCATAAATAACAAACCAAGCAATTTTATCATATCTCCAAATCCTAAATCAACCAATGTTACACAACCCGCGAAAGTTACACCAAAGTACACGAAAATCATCCTTTCATCAAAAAGAACAACCGAACAAACACCTACGACCTCAAGCGTCGTGAAAAAAATAACAAACTTGCCATCGGAAATATCGGTTAGAAAAGTAAATCCAAGTGAAACATCAACAGCTAGCCAAAGTGAAGAATTGGATCTAGAAAATGAAATTGTGGCTAGTACTTTGTTCAAAAGGAAAGTTGAAGATACTGATGCTGAAGGTTTGGAGATTGTTAGTAATAAACCAGAAGAAGCACAAATGTCCACTGAAGGAGAATCCCTCAAAAGAACAGCGAATGAAGCGAACATTGATAATGAAGATGAAAGCACGCCTAGTAAAGTTTCAAAAGTAGAAACCGCTTGAATTATTTAAAAACCAAATATGTATAATTTAGTTTGTTACATGTTAAATAGGTTTATTTATTAAAAAATCAAATTTTGATATCTAGTAGTTTCATTCATAATAAAGCTTCACCATCCATGGAATTAAAAAAATTGTATAGTTTTTTGCTCAGTTCAGTCCCAATTCTACGTGTTATTGAAAAGGGACCTGCAGCTCTTCTTATTGGAAGATCTTGAAGCAATAATTCAGCGTCTTCTTTTGACTGACATTCGTCATAGGCCTAGAAGTAAAAGTGAATGTTTTAACAAAATATTTTTCCATTCTTTACCTTCATTAATGCTGAAACATTGGGATATCGTGATGAAATTGCTTCTGCTGTCTCTAAACTTGCAAGAGGAAAAGTAGTCAAAGCTTGATTCCACAATCTTCTCAATCCATTACCATCTTTATCAACGTTGACACAATCTCGATTATCACCAGCCACAAACCATTCGGTTTGGTAACTATCCTGTTTTTGCTGTCTGAAATGTAAACTTATTACTTGTGTAAATGAAATGTTTACAATATTACTTGTAAGGAATTTCAGCAATAGCTTTAGTAAACTGAGCCACCATTTGTCCCAGCTCGGGACCAGATTCAATCATACGATGAGAGCAGGAACAAAATAACTCGAGTTCCGTCAGAGCAAATGCTATCTGGTCTTTGCCAACTGTAGGAAAATCTCTAAACAATTCTATGTTTGATGTTTTTCGTAGTTTTTCATTTGTTACTTGTGTTCGCATTTCGTTGTATTTACGATTCTTTTGGTATTTGTGATAGCTTTGTAAGTCACATATTACCAATGTTATTATTTTATTTGCAAGTACCGACTTTATAGATGTAATATGAGCACATAACGTATTGTTATTCACATGCTCTATAAATTCCCTACAGTTCATTATTATTATGAGGTGATTTGTGTCTTCTTCTGTTGAAGACAAAATCAACTTAAAGGAGACTTTTTACAAATTTCACAGGAAAGTTTGGAAAACTATACATACCTTGCCGTGATCATTTATTAAATGTGACTGCTTTTGGCGAATCCAAGTTATTGTACGTGGAAAAATTTGCGTTTCGGTTTTATACTTTATATCTTTTACTTGTAGAGCACTTATCAGATCATTCCCATAATGTTCGTTTATAATATTATAATCAATTATTGCGACAACGAACTAAAGAATGAAAAACTTGTTTTTCTTTTAAAGATTTTAAGGGGACGAATAAAAAGAGAATATTTCTCATTTTCTTACCTTTATGCACTCTGTAGGTTTAGTATTTTTCTTTGAAGCTGCTAGTGCCCCCTTTAAGGCTTTTTCTAGTTCCTTTTCTCGTTTCTTGCTTTCTTTATTAATTACAGGCTCGACATTTTCTAAAAAATGGTTTGAAACATTCCCACATTCTCAAATGCCAAATTACCATTATTTTCAAATGGTTTTTTATATTTTTCCGATAAAAGTTGGAGCATTTCTCTATCGTTTTCATACTGAGTTTTTTGAATTGATTCTTTCGAAGAGCCTTCGTTTCCACACACATTTTCATTCGCTTCTAGGATTATTGTATCATCTGAATCACTGGAAACTTCAACCACATCACCCATTGTACTTTAAAATTATCTCTAGTACTTAAACACAGAACATAAGTTTCAAACACAAAACGTTTCAAACAAGTTTAACACACAACACAGAAATAAGGGTTATGTGGTCATGTTTTGATCATATAGAACCACAGAACAGAGATAGAACAGTGGTTCTCAACTTTTTTTTTGTTGCGGCACACTTTTAACGATTTCAAAATTTGGCGGCACACAAAGAAAAAGATCAGTTTAAAAGTTGTTTATTTACCTATAATACACTGTGTAAAATAGTTTATGATAATAATTTTGAATGTAAAATAAAATAATACACTGGCGGACACGGAATTTTGGACATCACATTTATGTCAGTTCAAAAAATGTCAATGCAAGCCACGCTTTATTGTCATTATGATTGACGTTTGGATTTAAAACTTGAAAGTTCAATTAGTTGAAATTTATTTTCGGCGTCGATTTTCCGAAACAATAATGCCAGCAATACGTCTTTTTATATAAGTTCAATAAACAATTTTGATTTGTTGTCATTTTTTCTCTAGCTCTAGCGTGAAACGTCAAGTAAAATAACAAGTCGAAAGGTAAAACAGCAAAATAGGCTAATTTAGTTATTATAATCATCACCTTTTTGATCATGCCATTTATCTTTAGACTTGTCATTTTGCTTGACATTTTACAGACATACGTTTTCGGATTCAAGAATGACTCAATTACAAATTATCTTGATCGCTCGATACATTAAACAGTGGCGATCTTTTTTTCGTTTTTATGTTGGTCAATACTGAAAATCCGAATTCACACAAATAAGGTGTAGAAAATTGTAATAATATTTTTAAAGTTTTTTTGGCAGTCATGAGATAATCGCATCTAAAGTTCATCTAAAGGAAGGAAGGAAAGTTCTTCCTTGACTGTGCCATGCTTCCCACGCTCAACCAACAAGAATTCTTCGCTTGAAGAAGATACAATAAAAGTATCGAAATGTCACGACGAATTTAATGGTTTTTATTTCCCTTTGTTCTGTAAACTATCTTCTACGAAATCAGGTTATCATATTTCAAGGACAAGAAACACAAAATGGACAATTAATTACTTATTCGTCCATAATATCCCTTGTACCGGATTTATAACGTAAATAACTATTATCGCCTTACAGCTCCACCTGTAAAATATTGGCGCAGCCATTAAAATGTTGCTACGGGTTTAATACCGTAAATAGCCATTATTTATTCTTCGACACTGACAAAATTTACGGTTTTTCTCTCGTGTAAGCGTCGTCTGCGTTGATTGACAGTAATAAAAGTCTAGGCAATGCCAAAAAATGGCAGTTGGGGGAGCGACGAGTCCGCTTTCCATTGGAATCTGTATATTTTGGTTTGAAACCTTGATAAATTTTTGTATACAAAAATTTACTTTTGTGTTTTATGGGTTGTATAATAATAAATGCGTAATTGTTTACTTTTGAATTTTTTCTAAGAACTGGACGAAAAACATCAAAAATTAAAACATTTTATACGCAAATATAATTTTTTTTTATTTAAAAAAATAAACATATTTTCTCAACGTCTTTTAAATTATTGCTTTTAGCAGTTATTCTGTTTTTAATTATATTTTCAAGCCTGGATCCCATTGAGAATTTCCCATATGTCTGTCTAAAATTCTTCTGGATGGAGCTTTTAAAAACAGACTTCTCGCAAATTCATAACTTTTTGAAGAAATATACCTCCATGCAATACAATGACGTATTGTAACTTCAGACCATCTTGGGTTTTTTAGGGAATAATTATAAATTTGATCAAGTAAAAACACAGCCCTTAATTCATCTAACTCAGTTTTCACTACACAATGTTGACCTTTACTGTAAATGTCATTTTTTTCCTGCATTTTCTTTAGTTTTTCAAGTTTATTTTCATATAGCTTATTCAACTTTTGAAATCTTACATTTGCTTCCTGTAACTTTTTTTCTAAATTAGGAATTTTATCTAGTAAGACAAATTTTTTTGCTGAACTTATTGCATCTGAAACATTTTTTAAATCAAAATTATGAGTGTCACCTACTTTTAAATCGCTTTGTTGATCAAATCGAAATGGACTTGAAATTATATAATTTTTGTCAAATGACTGGAGATTGGAGACACGGTGCAGACGTTTCTAACGGCTTACCTTCTGAATTAATGGAAGTGGTAGAGATTACCTGAAAACGAGTAATTCTTTTATAATTCAAGAGCAAGGATGGAACTGCATTTGGTAACATTTTTTTGTTTTTATAATAGCTCGTTATTTCAAAGTGTTTTCCAAAAATCACGGTATATTGCTGATAGTACCAAATTATTCTCTTAAGCCATTCGTTTTTTTTTTTGATTTCTACTTTTTGGAAATTGATGTAAAACAATATCCTCTTTCTCCCCTTGCCCACAGTTTGGAATACAGCAAGTTCGGATACTTGTCATTTTAAAAATTATAATGTAATCTCTGAATGATATTGATATTACGCTTCTTAAGCTGAAAAAATGAATTAGTTGTGTGACAGATCAATATTTTATTAAATGTGTCAACAACTGTAACATTTAATTTCTTGCAAATTTTCAAATTTCACAAATTACAGTTTCCTTTGGAGCGTGCCGCGCGCGTCATCTACCGGAATTTACCATTTTGACAGGGGATTTCTAATTTGCTGACCAAAAAATTAAATAGGTTGTAATTATTTATATAAAAAGTAAAATTCAAACATTTTACGTAAACTAATTAAACTTTTGTAGCCGCATTTGCTGCCACTAAAATTCAACCCCTCACCCTTTCGAAAAGGGTAGTTTACTCTTACAAAATTTTAGTTTTTCAACAATTTTAAGCGCTAAATATTTTTTTTAATTG